ACCCCGTCCGTTCTGTTCACACAGTTATTAGTCTTAGTAATCTCGATCGCCTCAGCAATCAACCTTTGGCTTGTTGCTGGTAATCCCCTCTTAAGTATCTCGACATTGTCCCAATCAATCTCGTGTCCTGCGTCTAGCGCGTGTACGGCCACCGCTGAATCTTTTAGTAGGGCCATGTATTCAGGCTCATTTCTCGGTGGACGCGAAACTTGCCTCTTGTGTTCTGCTATCCTCTTGCGTAGCTCTCTCGCTGTTTGACCTATATACACGTGTTCACAGTCTTTGCAGTTGATTTTCTAAACACAATTTGTCGCCCTATCTCTTGGAAGTGGATCCTTCAAACGCACAAGAGCTGAAGAGAGCGTTTGACCCTCTCGAAAAACCACTCTTATTTTCTCCCTGTTTAGTACTCGCCTGATTGTTTCTGTGGTCCCCTTTTTATAGGGGATTCCCACCGTCCCAATCCATTCTGTTGTGCGTCGCGGAGGTGGATTTACAGCTCTCTGCAACTGGCGTTTCACTAAGCGCCTCGGATATTCACTGTCTACTAATTTGCTCACCACCTCCTTACGAACAGCCTTTCTGTCCTCCTCCTCTGTACACAGAGTCTGGGCTCTCTGAAACTGAGAGGATACGATAGTGGCATAAACTTGTTTTGGATGACCCGAACTGTAATGAAGCACTCCGTCCGTATCTGTCGGCTTGTGATATATCGTCGTCTTTAACCGTCCACCGTTCCTATGAACTAGGCAATCGAGAAATGGCAGTGTGTCACTGCAAGATTCTAGTTCCATAGTAAAGTTTATGTTTCCATTAATGGAGTTCAGCTGGTTTAGAAACGCGTCCTTCATATCTCGCTTTATAATCACAAATGCATCGTCCACGTAGCGCCACCAAATCATTGGCGAACTATTGGAGTTTGTTTGTTGTCTATCTTAATTAGCCTTTCGTTCGTTCACCTGACTGGTTAGCTGCCCCATCCGGTCACCTACTACTTTCTGGCTGTTGTATACATCACCTAGCCTGTTCATCCGATGAGTATACCACTCTTTATTACTATATTTATCATTTTATATTTTGTCACTTACCTTTGTGAAGCCAATCGGATGCATTATAGGGTTTCAGAGTGACTCTTTCCCATCCTTGTATTCCACGACCAACGATTTCGTCCTAGTTTGCACTCATCAGGTAGAGATAGCCGACCTGAGACACACGGCGGGTGCTCCAAAACCCGAAAATAACTTCTAACCGCTGTGTCAAGCACTTCTCACGGAGCTCAATGGCATAGTGCTCATGGCGACAGCAGCCATGCACTATGCGCCCAGTTCCGCTCTCAGCTTGGCTATCTCTACCTGATGTGTCCAAACTAATTGGAAACCGCAGGTCGTGAAGTGGAGGAATAGGAGAGAACCACACCGAAACCCTCCACTTCGGTGACAGTCCCAGTGACCGTATTGGCAGAGGCTGACTTCAAAGTCAACCGAAACCCACAATTGAAATTGCGTGTCGCAATCCAAAACACACGGCTGTTGCTCTAAAACCCGAAAATCAATTGAGTGCACTTATATTCATTGTTCGGATCCTGACTTTTTCCCGGATCTGATATGAACTGTCTGACACCCGCGCTTTGAAACTCCGTCCCGTTTTTGTTCGTTGTCTTAGTTAATATGTGCTAACACTGATATTTAGGAATACCCCCCAAACATTCCTCTCAGATCGGATAATCGGCGCTTCAGCTTTTCACTAAAAGCTGGCGGCATTGGGTCCAAAAACATACCTACTAATAGACTTGGAGTGATGGGAGTGGTGACCACGAAGGTGGGGGATAAATCACACAAAGCCAATATAGGAGGAAATATAATAGTAAGAAACCGGGAGTACTTGACAAAGTACCGGAGAGGTCAATCTAATTCATGCATGAGGTGTGCTACGGCGAGCGGCGATACGGCCACAACAGCAGCTCAACTGAGTACGCCAAAGACCGCAGGACGTGCACTGTGCGTGGACAGGTGGGGAGACAAGAGCACGGAAGGAGGTTGTGCTGAACACAGTGTATCGAGTGGAGCAGACAGACTAGCGAAACCTCCGATGCAGCTGATCCCATGGGAACCGCGCGGGGTTGTCCACTTGGCTTCACTGCTTGCATGATGTTTACAACAGTTAATTCCCTTCAGTAGTTTGAACAACGAAATGAGAACACGAACATTGGCAGATGCTGACATTTCGTATTATCTCGTTAATACCAATGCAATGGCTGGGATATCTTTTTATAAGTGACGTAGGGCACAATCAAATTCATGATTGGGGTCATTGTGGTTGATATTAGGACAACGACAACCACAGGTTGACAACTGGTTACTTTTGGCACATAAAGTTGGTCTACTTTGGGTTATCATGACAGCCTCGACAAATCTCAAAAAATTTAAATTTGTATGATGCAACACGGTACGAAACGCCGATAAAGGATTAATCCGGTGACGAGTCGCCAAAATGTGCCTGCCTATGGAAGACACTGACGGATTACGTGAGCACGTATCGTCGGAGGTGGATTGAGTAATTTCGCGCCGAACCCAGTTTGGCATGTGTTCTTTCACTCTGGAATCTAAAGTCCGTTCGGTTCTGCCGATGTAACTGATGCTGCAGTCACACACGAATTGGTAAACACAACGTGATTTGGCGCCGACGGGTTTATCTTCGTTTAATGAAGGTAACGGCAATTTTCGGGTTCTGTTGATAATTACCGCCTCCGCAGCACAGTATGTACGTTGAATGGCCGAGACAATGCGTTTGGTTGTCCTTCTAGCTGCGGTGTCACTCTTGAATGGTAGCTCGATGTACACCTTTTTCTTTGGGACTGTCAACACCATTTCTTTGGGCGGTCTAACCTTGCTATGTTTGTCTATGAACCGCTTTGAGTAGTCATTTTCCATAATCCTTTTCGCAATCAGCTCAAACTCCTTAGCCAGACAGTCGTTGGAGCAGATACGTCTGGCCCGAGTGAACAATATTTTCAGCAGCGCGCGCTTGTGTGCAATCGGTGAGAAGCTGGTGAAGTGTAGTTATTGGCCGGACCATGTTGGCTTCCGGTATACAGATCTCTTAATGAGCCCATTATCCCTGCGACTCATGAGAATGTCCACATACGGAAAACGCCCATTCGATACGAATTCAAAATCACCTTTAAGTTGGCGTGAACACTATTAGGGTGGTTTACTAATCGTTCGATTTGCATCCTCGTGGAACCAAAAACAAGGATATCGTCTACTTATCGTTTGTAATACGGCAGCTGGGAAATCTCTCCACTCAGTTTCCTTTCAAGCATCAGCATGAAGAAATCAGCCAGTACCGGGCCGAACGGACTACCCATAGCCACTCTATCAGTTTGGCGATATGAGGTGTTCCCGAATCTGAAAGCGACATTCTCCGTGCAAAGTACCAGGGACTGTCTCAGGAAGTCTGCCGGTGTTGGTAGACGGAAATTCTCCTCTTCTATCAGGTGGCAAATGTAATCAACAGTCTCTAGCAAATGGACACTAGTAAACTACAAATGGACGTCCATTGAACACATAACCTTGTCGGCTAGGCTGATTTTGTCTAGGTCTTTGATTATTTCAAATGAGTCCTTAATGTTGTGCAAGTTGAAGTGCTGCCTCAGAGGCGCAAGGATCCGAACTAACCAGCGAGCCAATTTGTGCTGCGGGGAATTCATCATCGACAAAACGGATCTTAGTGGCATGCCCTGCTTATGAGTTTTTGGCAACTCGTACAGCTATGGTGTCGATGAGCCGTACGGCTTCAAGTGCTTTTAGGTGGTTTTGTCAATTACACGATGTATGAGAAACGTTTCAATGTGTTGGGTTATACGAGCCTCTACTTCTGTCGGGCTTTCTCTCCATTCGGTGCGTTGTAACTTGCTTTCGTCACTTAAAATGTTACGCATTTTTTGTGCGTAATCGCTCCTGTTCATGACAATTGCTCCTGAACCTTTGTATGGTTTTAGTATAACCACTCCCTTATTTCTTAGCTCTCGTAGCACTTTTAAATGACGACTTGTAAGCGCACACTTTTCGTTTACCGGTACCATGAGGACTTCACAAGCAATGTCAGTCAGTTTATTCCTAAACCAACTGACAGCATCATGGCTGGTTGACTGAAGTTCAGCTACTTGATCGAAAAAATTCTCAAACTGTGCTTCAACAAACAATTGATTCAGCTTAGTAGAAGTAATTTTGTAGTAGATCCCCAAGGCTAGCATTTCCATTTGCATATCATCAAGTTGTACGTATGCAACATTCAAGAGGTACTTACCCAGATCACGTGTAGCGGTTTGGTCATTTGCTTCCATCGAGGATTTCAGTAGGCGCTTTCTGCAAGTCTCTTTCGTGCAATCAATAATTCGTTATTACCCACAAGCTAATACGAAAGGCTAGCAGCTGCCAGTGTTTGCCCTCTCATTTCGTTGTTCCAACTACTGAAGGAAACTAACTGTTTTAAATTTCTCAAGCGACGAATTCCCGCCGAAACTATCCGTCTGCTGCATCGTATTCTCAACCTAAGATGCAAGCTTGCTTGCAAACGTTTGGAAATATCCTTCCTTTTCGTGTGCGTCACCCTACACCGTTACCCACATTCACTGGTGAAACTGTTACGCAGAAACAAGCTTGCGCCTTCTAATATCAACCTTAGGTGCATTGCGTCAATGCAGTTAGATACGACAAAAGCAAAGCTAACAAGTCTAATGAAGACACATTCTCGCCTGATGCCGATTGTGGAAAGTCCGACCCTATGCGCCCCAATAGTCTTCTAAATATTTTGCCAAACACTTATCGATCGGTTACAGATCTAGACAAGAATTCAGCTTTCACCAGCTCCTTCATAGATGTATTTCTTTTCTCCTCTTCACACTTTTATTTGTTGCCCTTTAGTTTCCTCTTTGTACGGCTGTTTTTCCCGCTTTATATCGTGATGCGTTAATTAAATCTCCCCCATACTGCCCCATCATGTGTACCCCATGTTCGCCTGTTGACCGCATTCTGGCTTCCATATTTGCTATTTTTATCTCACCTTTTTTAGTTGGTTACTTTGACATTCCGACGCCACCGGATTACTATCGCGCTTATATTCTCCAACTGGGTTTTTATCTACATTCTCTGTGGAGCGTGCTGTTCATCGACGTTTGGCGCAAGGACTCTGCTGTGCTCCTCGTCCATCACTTCATGACTCTGTTCCTTCTCCAATTTTCTTTGGTGCTTCGGTGAGATATCTTGTCCTCTGTCACCCGTATCTTGAATATGACACCCTGTTCTTTGCTTTGCTAGTCTGTCTGTGCACCTATTCCTTGTTCCCTCAGCGTACACTAACCGCAGTGTACTGAGTCATGTCACATCAGTCTCAGTATGTCATAGCACGATGTAGTTTGGTTGAGTGCTCTATGCGCCAAGGTACGATGATTCAGTTTACAGTCGATCTTGCTTGCTACCACTATTACTATTTTTTCCATTGTTCTTGTTACTAAAACAAGGAGGAGAAGCTAAGAATAACTCAATCAAATGTGTTAACTCTAAAGTTGACCATGACGCACTGAGGTCGCTTACTGGGAATGTTGGAAGCCACATTCGTGAGATGGTATTCAGGGCCCCTAACTTCAGCGCTCGTGACATGTCTGACATGAGTATCGACGAGTGCTGTTGCTCCCTCCACTCTAGGAGACGGCTTCAGGTGAAATTCACCGACTTTTTGTACCCACCGCAGTGTTAGCAACCTATTGGTGGTCGGTAGATATTCAAGGAGCACGATCTGAGGATCGCAGACTGTTCGGATTCAACCGAGAATTCGGCACATCAATAGGTGTTCCGTTACCGAACACCAGTGGCGGTTGAGAGGGTTGATTCGTGGACACCATTGTTGGAAGACGGTCACTAGCACAGTGCACGGCGACACCGATGTACTCCTTGTGCTTAACTACCAAGTTAGAAATTATACAATTAAGAACTTATCATATCGAGACCCAGTCAGACAGCCATCCCACGTCCGGAAAAGCATTGTACAACTGTTTCATCCTTTCGGGAATCGTCGACAGTGCTCCTTCTATTGGACTCATGTGAGACTCGAATCCACAGCTTGACTGTAATTTGTCTGTGGTTGTGACCACTGAGCTACGAGGGAGGGCAACGACCGTCGTGACTAATTTACTGATTACTGACTTACACGTTGCCGCCCTGCTTATGCTTCCCGGAAGAATAAAACGAACGTACGATGGTCTTCTGCCTGATGAATGTTTACTGTTACCATTCAACTCCTCTTACTCATTACATCATCATCAGTACACCTTAGCTGAAGGTGAAAAGCACACTTCAACCGTTGTGCCGCATACATAAAGTAGGGCATACGAGAAATCAAGATACTGAATTATATAAAATGCACAAAGGCGACACACTACTTAGTGTAACATGTTATACGTCAAGAGGGGGTCCTGTTCTGTAGGGGAAGATAGGCGGGATGCGTAGGGGCAACTAAACTCACAACACAAACGCCAATGATGTCGGCTCCTTGCCATGTCATCTAGTGTATCCAACCAAACATGTTCATCGTCCTTCGGACCCCAGCCAGGCAGTCGGGACATACTGGCCGACACCCACTTCGAAGTGAGGGTTTTCATTCATCTTCACCAAGTCATTGCTTGGCTTCCCCTCCGATTCTTTCATCCACACTCCCGGCGCGCAAACAACGCACGATGCGGGAGTCGGTGAGCTGGCGTGCGCAACACGTGGCCAAGCCATCGGAGCCTGGTGCTGAGCGGTTCTTCTTCCTGCTCCATAAACAAGGCACCGCACACGCTCATTGCTCACGCGGTGCTTTCACCAGACATATGAGCTAAGCTGCGAAGCCAGCGATGATCGAACGTGACTAGCCTCTTTATGACTGTCCACTTGATTGGCTATTTTTCGCAACCCTACAGTAGGGTTGAACGAACCGTTGCACTGTATACCCGCCTTACTTCTCCCATTTAATCAATACGCCGACCAAACTGTTTATAGTGTTGTAAGTTAGTTGGCGGCTTATGTTTGGTAAGTTCGTCGGTTGGTGAGCGTGCTATCCTGTCTCCTAAGGGCCTGACCTAGCCACATGAATGCTGTCGTATCCGAATGATATAATTATGTGGATAAGTTACATGACAGAACTTTCACTCCATACGAAGCAGTGGTATACATGGTACTTACTTCTGTTGTAATGTAGGATGAACCTTGAGCACCTCACATATCATGGCGAACTCAGCGGACTTCCTCTCCCAAATCCTCACATAGCCCCAGAATTCACTGTTAGGGAACATATGAATCAGAAGCTATTTCTCTGACGAGCGCAACGCCACTAACTTGCGCAACCCGCTAAGCCACATAAGTATGGCTGCGATGACTGGTGCACTTGACAAGCGCCGAGATGTTAACGGTTTATTTAGCAGCGGAGCGGAAGCCAACGTGACCTCGCAGATTTGACTCTGGAGAACTAGAGTGCCATCGAAGTGTGGTGCATGCAAGTGGCCTGGAAGTAATAGGGGTGAGGCCAGACTTCCCTTAACTGTCTGATTCGTGTGAACAATTCGTGACAACCACCAGCATGAGTGCACTTTCTCACTAAGCCAGATGGTGTCGCATCCGGATTTATCACCGTCTGTCAGCATCCACTAGGGAGTGGCAACAGAGCAACCTGAAAGGTTCCGTTTCAATCTAAAGAACAGGTTCATGCTGGTTATCCTCGACGCTGGCAGCTGTGGCGTTGATATCGCAGACAGGTTTGAGTCAATTAATTAGCGGTGTCGCCACAATACACGGATTGAATCATTCTTCGAATTTTTTGACCCAGAAGTCCGGTTGACTCTTTTGCGAGTATGTAAATTCTCCACGTCTGTCGACCGTTGTCTCATTAACTGGCGGCTTCCTTGTAACCATATGGCTGTTCCTGATAGCTATCCCCCCAACTCCTGCTATTTATAAACGCCAGCGATCAGCGCTGCGGTTGTTAGGTAAATGCAGTCCGAACGTGTCGTACACACTCGAACCGCTTTCCCATTGGGACCCACTTGAGCGCATCAGTCAGACTGACAGAAGCCCTAGGAACCCACTTACCATTTCCGGTGCCTCATTTTATGCAACTAAGCAGATTCAAGAGTCTTTTTCACGGAACACTGATGGTGATTGCAGTCGTTATTCTCCTCTGTCATTTGTTTATCAGCTACCGCTGTTTCCTCAGTTCGGTGAAATTTCACTGTTCTGCCGTTTGTTCTACGTAGGTTACGTTTCCCTTTGGTCAGCCGCGCATTAGCATACACAATGAACGTTTCTGCACAAAAGCAATCCGCCCTAAATTCACTTGCAGTAGCATTCACAGCACTGTACCTAAGACTCTGTTGACCGCGACAGCTTCTGGCACTGCCTATCCATGAAGAACGTGCCGGCTGAACACCTTTCTATTCTGGAGTTACTACCGTGATTCCCGAGGCCGTGTAAGGATCTGCGGGAAACTCTCTGCTGAGTTCTGCACGACAAATGGGGTTCGCCAGGGTTGTCCTATAGCTTCTTTCCTCTTCAACTTTGTGATCGAAATGATCATGAATGACTCGGTTCTTTCAGACTATGCTAGAGCGGAAATTCTGTCAGGCGGCCAATTGACAAAGCTGGAGTATGCAGACGACATAGTTCTCCTTGGGTCTGATGCATTAGCTATGCAAACACTACTGAACAGACTTCTGCGTAGCACTGCACGCTTCGGCATGTGGTTTGCACCTTCAAAGTGCAAAATGCTTTTGCAGGACTAGATCGACACACCTGTTTTAGATATCACCGAACAGCCACTGGAAGTGGTGGCTTGGTTCAATTGCCTTGGTAACTGTATCGCCTTTGGTGGTCACATCACTTAAGAGGGTACTATGCGTATCAGTAAGGCCCGTGTGGCTTTCTAGAGACTCCATAATCTATGGAGACGGCGGGGTATCAGCCTGTCAGTGAAAGGTAGGGCAAAAACATGAAACGCTTAGTCGTGTTTGACCACCGGTGCTTGTGGAACATTGCTCACGTCTGGTGGGAACACCGGGTGAGCCATGCTGAGGTCCGCCAGTTGGATTTTAGCAAGAAGCCTTCTGGCACTTCACTGGAGTTTTTGCTGAATCCTAGTCACCTCCGTATACCCGTTGATCGACTTCCTCGGCGTGCATTATACCCCGTGGTTACACCAAGTTAGGTGGAACCGCAAGGTAGCCAGTCCATGACGTGACACAGTAGCATGGAGAAATTGACTGAGCGACTTGGTCATGCGGGTTCGTGCCGTCTTTGTGAATGTGGGCCTCGGGACGATCCACGCTAATGGTTGGAAACCGTGCCGAACATAGCGCAGTCACGAAGTCAGTGGCGTTCTTGCATTCGGTTTCTTTCATCTAATTGTTAATTTCCCTTCCGTTCTGATTAGTCAAACGCACTTCCTTCCTGTTTCCATTTTGTTTCCATTCTGTTTACCTTTAGCCACACTGTCTTGCCGTTGTTCTCTATTGCTGTTCTTGTGATGTGCGCCGCGGCAACTGGATCCGCCGCACTTCAGTGGACGGAGCATGGTTTTTAAACGGAATCGAACCTTCACAGATCGACAGTTTTTTGTCCCATGACTACTTCTTGGTGTCATAAATATATTGTGTCACTGATGTCAGTGTTGCCTCCGGTAGAACTGCTGTATTCAAGCAGCTCGATTGGGCCTTGATGCATGCTTCGAATTCGAGTTTTCACAGGGGTTGATGGGCACTACTTTGCATTTTCGTTTCCCCCTACTCGTTGGTATCCAAGGTGTTGTTAAATGGCAATTTTATCGGCGAACTTTCATTCACGTGGTCACAAATTCGGATAGCGTAGTCTTATTTTACAACCTTATCTTCAGATGGGGTGCTTATTGGAAACTACACAGCTTTCGTGTGATGGAAATTGGGTGTTGCACACCTGAAGACACTGCACACCTTTACGCGTTTCGATCTTGTTTGATTTCATCAGATGGAGATAGCACGCATCGAACCCGGGACTGTTGGAATTCTAGCCGAAACCACTACACCTTTGGCTGCCGAGTCACGACGGACAACGCTTGGCACATCCGTTGAGGGTTTATCTTGAGGGTCGTTTTGACGTACGCGTTGTGTGAATGGATTACGACGCGTAATCCCAAAGTGGACCGCGATTCCCATTGAAGTGAACATTGGCCATTCAATCACTAGGACCGTAGCTGATGAAACAGCAGCAAATTGGGTGTTGCCCATCTGAAAACACTGCACTCCATGACGCGTTTCGAGGTTATTTTTTCTCATCTCATCATCATCTCATCAGATAGAGATAGGAGGCATCGAACCCGGGACCATTGGGATGTTAGTTGTGACCGCTACCCCTGAGCCACCGGGTCACGACGGGCAAAGCTTGGCACAACGGTTAATGACAGATTGGAAAGTCACTTTGAAGTATGTGTTGTATGGATGGATTGCGACGCGCAATCTCAAAGTGGACCGCGATTCCCATTGAAGTGAACAATGGTCATTAGATCACGAAAACCATAGCTGAAGCAGATGGAATTTGGGTGTTGCCCGTCCGAAAACACTGCATACCATTACGCGTTTGGCGCTTGTTTGCTCACATCAGATGGAGATAGCAGGCCTCCAACTCGGGACCATTGGGATGTTCGTTGTGACCGCTACCCCTAAGCCACTGGGTCACCAAGGGCAACGCTTGGCACAACTGTTGCTGATTGATTTCGAAGGTCTTTTTGAAGTACACGTTGCGTGGATGAATTGCGCCGCGCTGTCTACACTGAGGTTGCGTGTCGACATCCATTCACCAGCGTACTTCTAAATGACCATCCAATCAGCATTTCGGTAACTTTCGAAATTCGCGCCCGCCCGCCCGCCTGTCTTTCTGATTGATAATGCCTACCAGCCTCTTTTAATTATGATAACCTCACCTTCGGTCTCTCATTCAACTGACGAGTTGTTATTCATATTATTTATTCAGCTTTTCTAGTTGGATGCTTGTTATTGTGAGGTATTAAGGTTCTCTTAACCACATCACCAGTTGTTCTGTCGCGGAAAGCGGCTATTCGAATGTCGCGAGTTTTCAGTTCTCTGTACCCTAATATTATTGACGAAAATACCGAAAATCCTGTCTACTCTGTTTCTTCTTTTATCATTCACGAGGCTAGCAAAACTTGATCCGAAGACCTGCAAACACGTACTTTGTACCAATCCACAGAAACCTCCATTCCTGTCTAGATATTGTACGCAACTTTTCCCACAACCCAGTCATTGCGTGTGTACGCCTATTATGTCGTGCATCTAGTTCCTCTCCTCCTTGTTGTTTTACTGCCTGTTTGCAGTGACTATCCGGACTCGGTTCGTTCTGATTTCCAATCGCCATTTTCGTTGCAGCCTTCATCGCATCGGGGCACTCGTCCTTTTTCTGCATGACCTCAACGACGTGTTTCTGGAAGTCGCTAAAGTCAATGTCTACGTGCGCGCTCGCCACGGCAAACCTCACGCATACAACATCTGGATCTCCAACCTTTTCTTCGCACTTTTCACGGTGTCCTGGTGAGCTGTCTGGGTTAATTGCCTTCTGTGTCTTGGTATGACTATTCATTATTCCAATAAATGTTGTCGTGTGTACTTTATCCTCTTACCCAAATGCTGCAACCACTCTTTTGTTGATACATTTTTCAGGATAGTAATGCGGCTCTATTGGTTTCCTCTTAAAGTACTCTATGCCGCTTCCTGGGGCGTCTACATCACAAACGTAGGCCGAGAGTGCCGAAGCTTCCTTTTCTTCAATGTGCTACTTTGGGCATTATTTTTCATGCACATTTACTGGTTCCGGGTGAGTGGTACTTCTCTGTGCTCGAATTGCGTTATCTCTTGTTTCCTTCTTTTTTACCCTCTATCATCCTGATGCCGATAGATACCACTCATGCAAGCCATACATAACACATTGCGGATGCTTTGCTTAGCCCTTCACCGGCCAGTCAATCACTTAATGTCCCCATCAGCCTGTGGAGTTCTCTTGGCATTCTGTTACAATCGGTTCATCTGTCATCGGGACTAAAAGCACTCAGTGCCTTTCCAAAATAACGAATATTGCTTTGCGCATGTAGTACAATTTGTGTCACCTAGCCTTGCTCGCCAAAAAATATTGTTTTCTGAGTTTGATTGCGACTGTGTCTGTGCGACAATCGCTTAGTCCTGAGTGTCTGACAATAATGTTCGTTTTGGCGCTTTAGTGACGAACCTCTTTCCCATAGCGTAAGCAAAATTATCAAAACGGACGAACCTTCTTTCCCTAGCGTACCTCAGTGTCTACATTCGAGCTCTGCTCTGACCATTTTAGCATCGATCAGTATTGTCTTTTTCTTCGCCAATGTCCGATTTCTATGTCTCTCCCATTGCGTGTCATCTTGCATAAAGCTTATCTCCTATTCCCACCTCCAGTTCATCGCAATTATGGCCGGTCGTCTCATCTTATGTCCTTCATCGGGGGATATGCGCGAGGAAGACTCTGATGATGATGTATTGGACAAGTGCAACGATCGCTCCGGAGATTTTCCGGTTGAACTGACGATGACTCCGCTTGGTGGCAAACTGGGTGAAGGAATTGAGCCCAATGGGAGCTATGAGAATCGTTTCGCGGTCAGCTCCGATGAAAAAGCTCTCCTAAACGGAATGTTACGAAATAGTAGGGGTACTTAAACTATTTTTGCTGTTTGATTTTATGACGTTTCACAACTATGTGCCTCTGATTGGATTGTCACCTTGGACCGAATCGGCACTGTGAGCCACCGCAGTTCTCCTAATTCCTACTACCTTCAGCAACTCCTTATCTGCTGATGATTCAGTTGAACTCCACGCTCAGTGCTTGTTTGTCCGCCTTTAACTGTACTCAACCTGCAGATGCTCTATCATCAGTCTTTCGTCAACCAGCTTCACTTCGACGTCCCACTGTGCTTTTCGCCCCTCTGTTTTTGTGCCTTTCCCTCTATTGCTGTGTGCTTTCGACTTTGGCTCATTCTGTTGCCTTCTCTTTTCTCCCTCAGTTGAATTTGTTTCATTTGTTCCAACTATGTACATTAACCACTGTTCATATTGGTTCATTGTATGTTTTTCATATACAATGATTATTGCTCTGTAGCGTTTTGGTTGACGATTCGTTCTGTCTTACCTATTTGAACTGGTGCGCATATTCATAAGTGGCTGTTGGTAAAATCACTAAGCTATCAAGCAAAGTGGTTTTAACTTACACTTCTATGTTCTGTTAAACTGGATACACAAGGTTACTTTACTCTGTTTAGAAGCCAGTAGTTGACGAGGCGCGAACACCATATCTATGGTGCTGTGTCCAGAACGGAATCCGCACTGCTCCTCAGACATGTTTGGTTCAAGGGTCGTAGTGACGCAACACAACAAGTAGATGCCAGGATGACTTTGACTTTGTACATGGGTAACAAAGGCATCTCTCAGTTCAGCGGGCACCTGTTTTTCGGTCCAAGCGCGTTCCACCAATGTGCACAGTGCAAGGTGCTCCCCAATTTTCCCGGTGGTGTCCCATTGACAGCAGCACAATTGTCGTTTCGCAGCTGAGCAACTGCTCTCCGCGTCTCATGCAGCGTTGATGTGTCAGCATCTTTACTTCTTGTTATTATAGCCCATGCAACATAGCCTAGTCAATCTCTGAACGATCATTCAAGAGACAGTCAAAGTGAAAGAGCAGGTAGCATCCGAAGTGGCATCCACCATTGTTATTATCGGTCGCGAGGGGGGTCCATACACTACCTTCAAGGCGTCATAAAACTCTGGCAGCGTTCGGCATGGCATTCTGTCTTCTCCCTCCACTATGTTTCTTAATAAACCAGAGCTCCTATGTCAATCGCTGATGAGATCCTCCACATGCGCCGCAAAAGCTGTATGCTTCTCTGACACCAATACGTCAATGGTCACATTGTTGTTACCAATCCGATCGCTTCCTCAGCCGCAACTGTCACCTCTCAAGCTTGTGCCACTGGCCACCGACTAAAGCGATGCAGTTGTCATCGTCAAGACGCATTCTCTAATTCGCTCCTCTCCTCAGCATTACTTAGAGAGCGAACATTAAATTTTTGTTGATCCACGGTGGAGGATCCATATCGGGATTGACGACAGTATGTGACCATTTGGTGTGATTCGTTTCACCCCTTGGCTCATCGCGTTACACGCATCATGCGCACTTCGCGCATGTAACGCTGGCGTACGATGACGTAGACCGGGGTTGTCCAAAGTCCGACCCGCGTTAATCTTTCAACTGGCACGCGACATCATCATGAAATAATAAATTCACGCTTGGATTTTTTCCTCCATGTGTAATTTTTGTTATCATCTTACTGTAAGATTGAATATGGCCAGACGTATCTTTACCTCACAAAATCTGGCCATACTTGCAAAAAGTTTGGACACCCCTGATGTACCCGAACGGATGGGCATAACCACTCCGCACTCGCATCCCAGTAGAAATATCAATCGCACACAGTGGGAGCTGTGCGTTTCTTTTTCTCAGATCATGAGTGGCACGCATCGAAAGCAAGCGGTCACTGTTCCCATCAGTTAAAGCAACGTTCTAACACGCAAACTGGGAAATTCACCTGGACACATCATGAAGCAATAATCTTGCAATTTTTTACGTAGCACATTTTACTCAAACTGGGGAAACATCTAAGTCATTGCAAGCGCGCTGCCGCCGTCAAGCATTTTCGTTGGGACCTGTACTCAGGTACGTTACCTGGTGAAAGTGGAATGCGTCTCATATGTTCTGTTACCCTCGTGCGCAGCTCTCGCGTGCTTTAGCCTGCATACGCTTGAACAGTCTTTGCAACAACTTTTTAAATGTAATTTTTCCTCCTTGAACAATGATTTATCACGGGTAACAAAGCAGATGCTTGATAAGTGCAGTAAGATGGTTGGAGTGAGCGCTAAAGAAGTGCAAGTGATATGTGAATCATCAGTGTAAGTGTCCACCGATTTAAGCGCGTCGCTGCATGACGATAGTGTAACATGGGAAATGCTTGTGCGAACATCAAATTATATGGGGAGCAGATATGGCTGACGCATTCTGAGAGACAACACAAATGAACAGGTAAACGCACACTTATGGCCGCTTTCTTAGGCGTATGTGATACGAGGAGTCCTGTATTTGTACACCATAAACCCATTCCCCAATACCATTGTTTAAGTAACGAAGTGCAGGAGGTGAAGTTGAGCACATTGACTGTGATGTTGCTATATATCTAGCGTAATGTAACTGTATCAGTGTATCGTCGAGGCGTCTTTCGGATACTGGTAATGTGGGGAACTAAACGACGTAACTAGGAAGGGTGTTCTGGGGTTGGCACTCAAAAAGTGAAAAGAAATTCCGGCGGCATTCCGACCGGCAATACTGAACGGCTAGCTTTAGCTGTCGACCTCTTAGGGTGGTACTGTGATTCCGTTTCAGGTGATAACAAATTTGGTTTGGTTCCCTCAGAATCAAATATGTCCTTAGCAAATCGCCACTCAGGCGTCGATATTGTTCACTGTAGACCCCAATGAGTGCCCGTTGGTAGATGAGAGGAGACATAACCCTTATCTTTTGGCCGCTCTTCGTTGTTGTGTTTTAAGTGTGATAAGGTCGTGCTTGTGCCATGGCTTTCAGACGTATTTGGTGTGTTCCGAATTAGGCCTGTTATGGGTGCTGAGAGTTGACGGAATGGTGAAATCGCCTGAATGTCCTCCGCTAAAAGCCAAGATGTTGGTTGTCTCTTTTCCATGCTTTCTCGACCTAACGCAAGCTACCAGGATCACGTTGCGCCATCACTCCTATGTTGCATCCTATAGAAACGCTTGACAAGTTGCTGGACGCCGCATGCTCAGTGTCTTGGTGGCGTAAAAATGAAGCTGACTATGAATTACCCACTGGTACGTATTATCAAGATTAGCCTGAAGTGGTGCGTGGCCACGTGTTGTGATATCTCACTATAAATTGAGGTCGTCAACAAGGCGTAAGAAATTGGAGGTGATCACTCTCGTGATATCGTTTATGTAACTCGGGAATAAGTGTGTACCAAATACTGAGCCTTGTGGTACTCCACACTGAACTCTCATTCATATACCGTTAAAGAAGTTACCTATCGGAACGAGGACTGCGTCACCAATTCCGTAGCTCTGAAGCTTGTGGAGCTGGTTACGAATTCCAGATGAACTACGTCAATGCCCACACCACTATTGACGATTTCAGTTCAGCTGCACCCAGCAAGTAGCACTTTCTGACGGAATCCACGTTATTATGGTGCTACAGTGTTATATCCTTCCAAATAACCATGAGCGCTTCACTTATGATGGTTTCCATGACTTCAAAGAGCAATGGATTGTGTGTTATTGGATGGTAGTTGGCCGTATCTGCACAACTACCTCCTTGTGAATGGAGTGACGATTCCGTACTTTCACATTGTTGCAACCCGCATCTATCTAGAAATCGTCAGAAGAACCGAGAGTGGTTCCGCCAAACACATGGCAGCCAACTTCAGAGCATTTAGGCGGATATCATCAGCACCAGGAGAAGTGTGCTCGCGCAAGGAAGTTAACCTATTCCGCGCATCTACGTAATAAACGATCTATGACCAAGTCGTGGCGGTTTTACTACTTGGGTGAGTAGCATAGTTGACGTCTTTTGTGCTCTGGGAATTTGTAAATAATTGCTGACGTAAGGCTTTGGCCGCTTCTTTTGCAGTTTATCCTTGTCCATGTGACGCGTGTAGGGCAGGAATCTATCGCTGGATTTTACACGGTTTGTTAGCGTGTCTGTTAAGGAGTTTAGGATTTGAACAGGATTTCTCGGCGAGATCCTATGGATACCTTACTTTATCCCCGCTTACCAGGTTCACGCAGCGGTTCGATTGGACAGTGTAGACACCCAATGTTTCGGCGCCTAGTGACTCCTCAGTTTTGCCAGAGTGAATTTCTAGTGACCATACACTGCTGCGTACGAATAACTACTCACACCGAGCGCGGTGACCTCTCCGAAAGCATTAGTTACTAACTTGTCGGATTGATGACCAATACCCCGTTAGGTGACATCGGGAGATAGTTCAAATCAAAATAGGCTTAATGCACCTGGGTAGGTTACATTTTCAGCTTTCTACACTATCACTGCGAATGGAGAAGTACATAGGATTTAATGGACAAAACACATTAATTTCTATAATGCAAAATGTTTGTGTACCACTCAAGCAAACAACTGCGCATCATTCTGAGACGTTCCATCGAACGCACATGTAATCATGACAAGTACGGTAGGATAGAATTGCGATGAGAAACCGCACGCGAAAATAAGTGTCTGTATTGAGAGGGTGTAGAAGAAACAGATTGCGCTTCCGATAGAGCTCCAAGCCTTGGATGAAAAGTGTCGTTTAGAACTTTGAAGATAAAAACTAGTAAAACGTGTACATGCTTGACGACAATAAAATCAGCAAGTGTCTCTCTAGACAGTCCACTGCATCTGACAATATGTTTTAATGAATTTAAGAACAATATGTAATTTTCTTTGGTAGCCCAGAAAAGTTTACTGGAGAACAGTAAAGCCAATGAGGCAGAATGCATGCAGTCACAAATTTCTGAATCAGATCATGAGGTACGGAAAGTATGCTAAGCCTGAGGGCATAGAAATATAGCCTTCTAACCTTGTCAAATGTTTCAGCGACATGGGTAGACCAAAATGAGTTTTGGGATAAAAAATATTCCAAGAACAATGGTCTTACATGGGTAAAAAAGCTGTATCTTAACAGCTCCCGCAGGATGATCATAGTGAAAATTCAAAGTATAAGAAAAGTTGTCCGCATATTTAGCTTCACACTAGTAGGCTCACCGCGGTATTCGTAAGTATACATCCACTGTAAGTCGAGTTATGTTTGATAGCAC